ATTGACGAAGTGGAGCATCTTAGGAAGGATATTGACGAAGTGGAGCATCTTAGGAAGGAGATTGACGAAGTGGAGCATCTTAGGTCGGATTTTGATGAAGTAGAACATCTTAGGAAGGATAGTGACAAGCTGGAGGTTGACCAGGATAGTGAGGATTCTAAAAATCATGTCATAGAAGGGGTTTTGGGTTAAGTGGGAGAAGGTTGATTTTTTTTTTTCTCAACATAAGAAAAACTCCCTAATAATTAAAGCTGTACAAAAATGGTAGGTAGTGAGCCATCAAACTTGAAATGGAGGCTAGATGACCAATAAAGCAATCAAAAATTATTTTACTGAGACCCTAGTATAAGCCAGGGCACTGCGCAGGGCACCCATAGATACAAAGGCAAAAGAAACAGTTCCTCCCTTAAGAAACTTAATATCCAATAGGGTGAACAAAGTCAAGGATAAGATAGATACAAGGTTTTTTTGGGGGTGGTGGTAAGGCACTAGCAGGGGGAAGGGTAACTAGGAGCAGCTTCATGTAGAAGGGAGCACTTGTAGAAGGTGAGACTTGAAGGGAACAAGGGATTCTAACACACAGAGGTGAGGAGAGTGAATTTCAGACATTGAAAACAGCCAATGCAAAGGCATGGAAATGGGAAATGGAGTGTCTCCTTTGAGTAAGAAGAACACTTGGGGCGATGATAAAGGGGATTCTTATTCCACTATGGTTTGGACTATCTGGGCACCGAGGTCCTTTGTGTCTCCGAGATTGTATGAAAGAAAGCTGCTACTTTGCCTTATGGTTACTGCATGATAGTAGAAATCATTTACGGCCTCTAGGTGGCACCATAGTGCATAGAGCACTGAACTTGGAATTAGGAAGATTCATCTTCCTGAGTTTAAATGCGGCCCCAGACACTTCCTAGCTGTGAGACCCTGGGCACGTCACTTCACCCCATTTGCCTCAGTTTCCTCATCTGCAAAATGAGCTGAAGAAGGAAATGGCAAACTGCTTCAGTATCTTTGCTGAGAAAACCCCAAACAGGGTCACGAAGAGTCAGACACAAATGAAACGACTGAGATGTAGTTCTGGGGTTCAAGCCCGGGCTTGGAATTTGAGTGTCAGTGAAATCCCAACTGGATGGTGAGATCAGAAACAATCTATGTACCAGAAATGTACTAGTATTCTTTTCCATATGAGTCAGAGTTTGTGGTAATCATCTTAAAAATGATTATACATATTATATATTATTTATATACCTTCTGCCTATTATTATATAGATTATGTTGTTGTTTGGTTGTTTCAGTCATGTCCAACTCTTCATGACTGTTCAGTCATATCTGACTGTCCATGACCCCATCTGAGGTTTTCTTGGCAGAGATACTGAAGTGGTTTGTCCATTTCCTTCTCTAGCTTATTTTACTGCTGAACAAATGGAGGCAATAAGGGTTAAGTGACTTTTCCAGGGTCACACAGCCAGTATCTGAGGCCAGATTTGAATTCAAGTCTCCCTGACCTCATGCCCAGCACTCTATCCATTGTACCATCTAGCTGCCTACATATATATATATATAATATATACATATGTATATATATGTACGTATGTATGTATATATGTAGATATATATGTAGATAGATATATAGCTATATGTATGTATATATATGTTGTATGTTATTATTTATCTATGTCAGGACCTTGAAACAAGATTGCTTGGGTTTGGGTGGAGGGGGAGTGATTCATATGCAAATCAACCACTTCCTTGGCCTCTTCCATTTTTCTTCTGCAGTAGGTCTGGCAGATTTTGTCTGGCACGGTGGTGATGAGGACCTGGGGCTTTTGCTAATGCCTTGTCCCTGCTGGGGTGTGAATAGCAATTCAAGTGGCACTTTTTGCCATTTATAAATTGCAAATTGAATTTCCAGCATAATCCACCTCCTGAAGCTGTGGCCTTCCTATAGTTTCTAAGTGGTTTGAGCAGCAGGTGGCATGATGCTCAGTCTTCAGTCAGTGTCCAAGCGAGGGAAGGGACATTAAAGAGTTCCTGCTGCAACAGACTGCAGTTTTTCTCATCTTCTTTTTTGTTTATGTAGATGATTGTAAACAACTCTGACCATAAAGACATCTTTCCTACAGTTCAACTACTTTCTATTGAGTGTTTACTAGGAAGGCAGCATACCGGAAGAGCTAACCTTGAATTCAGAAAGACCTAAGGCCTATCTTTGACACTTACTGACTGAGTGACTCTGGCCCAGTTGCTTAACCTCTTGTTGCCCCTAGGTCACTCTCTAAAGCTGTAAATTGTAAAGAAGGTGCCAGCCTACATTGGCAGAGGGAGTGCCCTCACCTAAGAGTCTGCTTTGCTAATGAAATCAGACTCCCTAATCCCTAGCCTTCTGTATAAAGCTAAGGTATTAAGAAGAGTTGTGGATATGCATGTGAGGAGGGAGTATGTATACCAGGAGTTCCCTCCTTTGATGACCTCACAAGTCTGGAGTCCAGTACAAAGCACTGCTTTATAATTCTGATGGTCAGGGATGTGGAAGTTCAGAAAAGGAAGGATTTTGGCGAAATCAGAGAGGGCTTTGTCTTGGGCTGGGTCTTATGAATTTAGACGAGCCAAGGAGCAAGGGAGGGCAATCCAGGAGGAGGAAGAAGACATGCACAAAAGCATGGGAACTACAAGGAGGATGATGATGCAGTTAACTTTGTCTTCTACTCTTTCCTCATCACCGTCTCATCCACTGAAGAGATATGCTCTGCATAAAAAGAGCCATATATCCACCGTGGTCCAGAAACAACTTCTCTGTCCTTCCTTTGTCTATCCCATGTTTGCTAGAATAGTCACAGCAGCACAGAGCTTGAGAATGGGAAGGGACCTCCCCAACCAGCTAGTCCAACCCATACGTGAAAAGAATCACTATAATATCTCTGACAAGTGGTTATTGAGCCTTGATTTGAAAGACCTTCAAGACACATGGTGCTCAGTGCACACAGCAGTGGTGCAGTGGGAGTCTAGTCCTGGCTTTGCCGCTAACCAGCTAGGGGATGTTAGATAAATCACCTCTGTCCTTTAACTTCATTCTCTAATTCTGTATAATGAAGGGTTGCATCAGACCCCTTCAGCACTTCTTAAACTGTGGGTTGATACCCCATGTGGGTCAGAGATGGAAGGGACCTGGATTAGATGACCTCTGGGGTCCCTTCCGTCTCTGACCTTCTGTGACCATGTGAAATGAAGACATTCTTTGAGGTACTAAGGATTTGAAATTGGAAACTTAGTCAACAAGCATTTATTAAATGCTGATTTTGTGCTATGGCACTATGCTGGGTTCTGGGACACAAAGAATGGCAAAAATGACATCATTCCTGCATATCAGGGCTTACCAATTTAATGAGAGAGGATAGATAAAGAGAAAGAGATAGGTGAATGGATGGAGAGAGAGAGAGAGAGAGAGAGAGAGAGAGAGAGAGAGAGAGAGAGAGAGAGAGAGAAGTAAATGGGTGAATGAATATATGGATGGATAGGTAGAAGGAGAGAGAGGGAAAAAAGTGGAGGAAGAGAGGAGAGAGAGAGACAGAGAGACATACACACACACACACACACACACACACTCACACACACACACACACAGAGAAGTCCCAATTAGTGTGAACAATGGATCCCCTGAAGTAGTTGCAGTATTTTGATGCTTAGTATTCTAACTACCTATTTCCATTGGGTTTGAACCAGTTACCAAATTTTCCAGTTAAAACTTCAAACACTGTAAATTCAAGTGTGTTTGGCCACTTGAGGAGATTAATTATTTAAACTAGTCATGATGTGGCTGTATAACATTTATTCATTTCTTATTATGTGCCAGGCACTGTGCTAAGGGATGAGATCCACAAATAATTTTGAAGACAAGTTAGAATGTAATAATGCATAATGTATAGGTCACTTCTATAGCTAGAATCATAGTAGGTACTTTAGTAGATGCTTAGTAACTGGTTAAATTAGAAAGGTAGAGAACTTATTTTGTCTAATCTGGAGCATAGAACCTAAGAAATTTTCTGGTTGGAGAGTTCATTCATTCATTCGTTCACTCATTTGTTCATTCATTCATTTAACTGCTCCTTAGGGATGAAAACCATCCCTGAGTGTAGAGAGGCTGCTGGTGTTTTTTCAATTAATGAGCATTTATATTCTCCACTTCCATTTGGAAAAAGAAAAAGGAAAAACCAAACCAAACCTTTGTAACATATGCCCAATCAAGCAAAAGAAATGCACACATTGGCCATGTCCAAAAATAGATCTCTTCTCCTACCTCTTTAAGTCCATCCCCTCTTGATCCAGGATGTGATATCTAGTTTTTCAGCTTATATTATTGTGAGCTTATTTCCCCCCTCCATGGGAAGCCATCTCCCATTTTATCATAAAATCCAATGTGATAATGGGATTTATTTTTACTGAAATTCATTTTACTCATCCCTTTGATGGATGGATGACGAATTCACTGGAGTTTAAATCTACTTGTCTCCCATTTTGCCATTTTAGGGTCCTTTCGATTTGGATGCTTGTTTGTCTAAACACTCCATCAATCCCTATAGCAACCGGGAAAGTCGAATTCTCTTCAGCACTTGGAACCTAGATCACAAGTAAGTAAAGCTAGGAATCTTCAGCACCATTCATGTAGCCAGAGCCAAGTGACCCAACCAAGAGAGCAGCATGTCTGCTGTTAATAGGGATAGGGACCAGATGTGTGATTTCATTGATACTGGGAACTCCTTGGTGAAGGAACTCCCTCTACTAATACCTTGCTGTCTTAAGAGAGTTACCTAGAAGGTAAAAGTGAAATGACTTGCCAAAGGTCAAATAGTCCCCTTGTATCAGAGGCAGGATTTGAACCCATGTCAATCTGGCTCCTTCAAGGCCAGTTCTCTATTCTCTGTGCCAGGGGAGTCAAACTCACATAAAAACAGGGACCACCCAACTATACCTAAGGATCCCTACAGGCTTTGAAAACTACATATTAATATCATCTATATTCTATTGTCTTTTTTTTATTAATTTTGCTAAATATTTTCCAATTAAATTTTAATCTTGTTGGGGCAATACACTGGGCTGAATGTTTGGTACTTATGTGTTAGTGTTAATTAACCTTGTTAGAGTGTCTAGTAACTTATCAAGATACTTAATTTTATAGTGATTGGTTATGGCAGCAAATCAGAGGATGGTGCTGATACAGAGATGTAGTGGTACAGTGGGCAGAGTACTCCGCTTGGAGACAAAAGACCTGGGTTTGAATCCTGACTGTGACACTGTGGAACTGGATTACTGTGACCAAAGTCTGGAGAAGACAAGATCTGGGGGCCACAGTGGTTGTTTTCAAATATTTGAAAAGCTGTCATGGGGGGGAGGGATCAGATTTATTCTGTTTAGCCTCAGAGGGCAGATCCAGGAAGAATGACATAAAGTTACAGAGAGGATGGTTGGACCTCAATTTCAGGAAAAAATAAACTCTGTAATGATGAGAACCATCCCAAAATGGAATAGGCTGCCTTGAGAAATGGCGGCTTCCTCTTTCACTGGAGGAGTTCAAGCAGAAGTTAGATGCATGGTATGGTGTAGTAGGGGTATAAAAGTGAGCTAGTCCTTGATCTCAAGGAGTTTATATTCTATTGGTGGGGAAAGTACAGATAAATTAGTATAGGCTATGTAATAAATGGGGCAGCTAAGTGGTGCCATAGTGCACAGAGCACTGGGCCTAGAGTTCAAATCCGGCCTCCGACACTGACTAGCTGTGTGACCCTGGGCAAGTCACTTCACCCTGTTTTTCTCGATTTCCTCATCTGTAAAATGAGCTAGAGAAGGAAATGGCAAACTACTCCAATATCTCTGCCAAGGAAATCTCCAAATGGAGTCATGAAGAGCCAGACATAACTGAAAAACAGCAAAGAAATTTGAGCTAATAGTTAAATAGCACCTACTATATATTAACATAACAGGCAACATGGTATAGTGAATAGAGAGCTGACCTTGAAGTCAAGACTTGGGTTCAAGTCTCATATCTGGTAAATACTAGCAGTGTGACCCTGGCATATTACTTAATCTCTTAATGCTCTGGGCTTCTCTCTAAAGATGCTAAATTTTGGAGACAGAGCTGACTTGAGCGTTCTCACTGTCAGTGAGATTGCAAGACATGCCCTTATTCTTATCACTTGTACCAGGTACTGGGGTAGGGGAATAAAGAGGAAAGAACATTTAATAAGTGCTTATTGGGCACCAGAGGCAGTATATGGTGTGAGATGTTGATCTACATCTAGTTTCTGCCAAATTGCTTTCCAGTTTTCCCAGCACTTTTTGTCAAATAGTGATTTTTTTGGTCCCAAAAGCTTGAATCTTTGGGTTTGTCAAACACTAGATTATTCTGGTTATTTACTACTGTGTATTGTGTACTAAATTTATTCCACTGATCCACCACTCTATTTCTTAGCCAGTACCAGATTGTTTTGATGATTACAGCTTTGCAATATAGTTTGAGATCTGGTACTGTTAAGTCACTTTCCTTCTCATTTTTTTCATTGATTCCCTTGATATTCTTGATCTTTTGTTATTATTTTTTTCTAGCTCTACAAAATAAATTTTTTTTGGTAACATGCCTGACGTTCTTTTCAACATGGAACAAACAAAAATATAAATCCATCTCTGGGAATTGTGGGAGGAGAGCACTAGAAACTGGAGGGCCAGGGGAGGGAGGAGCCAGTAAAGACCTCAGGAAGGAAATAATATCTGAGCTACATTTTAAAGAAAGAACCTGCTAGAAATGAAATTAGGTTTAGTGTGTTGTCTAGTCCTCAAATGAGTAACTAAAAAACCTGTTCTTTTGGTTTGAGGAGGGAAGTTGCCCACTTTCTGAGAGCCAATAACTAGTTCATCTTCTCTTGCAGAATAGAAAAGAAACGCACCATTGTGCCCACCCTGACTGAAGCTGTTGCCGAGCAAGACGGGAGAGAAGTAGACTGGGAATATTTCTATAGCCTGCTTTTTACCTCCAATAATCTCAAATTGGTACATATTGCCTGCCATAAGAAAAGTAGTCATAACCTCAGCTGCGATGAGACTAGGATTTACAAACCCAAGAAGCAGGTTGTCAGGAAACGTGCTGCCCGCAGACGTCAATGACCTCTCTCCTATCGCTTTCCTGGGTTTTAGAGCCAGAAGGGGACTCGGAGATCATCTGCTCCATTCCCCTAGTTTTACAGAAAGAGAAACAGGTTCAAATAGGAGAAGAAGCAAGCATTTGTTAAGTGCCTACTATGTGTCATTCTCTGTCCTAGTGCTGAGGATGGATACAAAGACAAAAATGAAACATAAAATGATATACAAAGTATCTACAAAGAAAATGGAAGACAATTTTTGTTTTGGAAGGAACGATTAATAGCAGGTGGCATCAGGAACATCTTCCTGTAGGAGGTGGCAGTTGAGCTGTGCTTAGAGGAAGCTAGAGATTCTAAAAGATGGCAGTAAGGAAAGAGTGCAGTCTAGGCACAGGGCGCAGCCAGTGGAAAGTCAGGGAGCCTACCTCATATACATATCTGATGGTGCCTTAACGCAGGGCCTCCATAAAGGGGCTACTTTCTGTCTGTCTCTCTGGCTAATTCCAAGCTTACAAATGCATGTTTGTCCACATGTCTGTTTCCGTCTTTGTGTTGTTGTTCAGTCATGTCCTACCCTTTGTGACCCCATCTGGCGTTTTCTTGGCAAAGATCTTGGAGTGGTTTGCCAGCTCATTTTACAGATGATGAAACGGAGGCAAACAGGATTAAGTGACTTGTCCAGGGTCACGTGGCTAATAAGTTTTGAATTTAGGAAGGTGAGTCTTCTTGACTTCAGGCCCAGTGCTCTATCCACTGCGCCCCCAAGCTACCTCATGTCTCTCTCTATATACATATATATGTAAACATAGGTGTGTATGCATACACACGCACACACATATATATCCATTCAGAGTGGCCAGGAAAACTTTGGATCAAGTGCCACCTTTGACACATCCTGGCTATATAACCCTGGGTGTGTGGCTTAACTTGTGCTCTAAACAACTGTCTAAGTTGCTGAGAAAGTGCTGACCTGCATTGGTGGAGGAGTTTCTTCACCTGGGAGTTCCCCATACCAGTGAAACAGTGTTAGTCCCTATCCCTCTATCTCTCTGTCTGGCTCTCTGTCTCTAAGATCTTTGTTTATATAGCTATGAAGTAGCTCTAGCTAGAGCCCTTTCCTTTCCTTTTTCCCTCTTCAATCTCCCAATTTCTTTTGATTTCGAGGTCTTTCCCCTTGGTCATGTTGTTAGTTCTGCTATTAGAAAACAGATTGTTGGGTGCTCAGCATGAAATAATAGTTTCTAGCTATGAGAAAATGGTGCTCCGTGAACTAAGGAACTTTCTTCCCTCTGTAATTTATCCAGTATTTTGTTGAATCAAGGCACATTTTCCACAGTAAAAAATAGTGATCCTTGCTTTTTATAATTCTAGCTTGTGGGGTATAGGTTGTTTGAATAGGCATGTTGGGTCTCTAAGCCACTGGGGGACATAATTCTGTTTTGTGAACCTTATGCATGAATTCTCACCAAGCTATAAGTGGGCTGGTGGTGGTGGTAGAGGGAAGTGTGTGTGTGTGTGTGTGTGTGTGTGTGTGTGTACGACATGTAAGAAGGAACTGGACCTGTTTTCAGGTCATGATTATCAATTTGGTAGTAGTGGGTTAGAGAGTGACTTTAATTTTAACTTAAAGTTTGTTTTTCCTGTGCCAAATTTCCTTTTATCTGAGAAAATGATTCAAGTCATCTTCCTGAAGCATATATGTTGAATTAAAAAAACCAAACACTTCAATTTGTAAATAAATATTTATTAAATGTTTACTGTGTTCTAGGCAGGACAACAAGGTGGTGCAGAGGAGAGAGTGCTGGGCCTGGAGTCAGGATGACTCATCTTCATGAGTTCAGATCCAGTGTCAGACACTTATAGCTGTGTGACCCTGGGCATGTCACTTCATTGCCTCAGTTTCCTCATCTGTAAAATGAGCTGGAAAAAGGAAATGGCAAACCACTCCACTGTCTTTGTCAGGAAAAACCCAAATGGAGTCACCAAGAGTTGGTTACACCTGAAATGACCGAACAACAACAAATGTTCTGGGCATTAGGGTCACACAGCTATTAAGTGTCTGAGGCCAGGTTTGACGGAATGATTCTTCCTGACTCCAGTCCTGGAGCTCTATTCACTGTGGCGCCACCTAGCTGCACGAGGGGCATAGATATTACCAACCTTTTCTTCTTCAAGCCTCCCACACCACTCCCTCCTCAATCCTCTCTGCTGAGGACCTTGACTCATGATTCATGGAAAGAAAGTGAGGACATTCATTGAGAGATCCCTTCACCCATTCCTCCTCTCCCAACACTCTGACTTTGTCTCCCGCTATCTCTTCCTTCACTCCAGCCTCTGAGGAGGTGGCCCTTCTGTTTGCCAAGACCATCCCCTCTGCATGTACTCCCCCTTCCCCGCCCCCTGTCTTACTCTCTCCCATCTTCTTTAGCAGACTACCCATATCTACTGACTCCTTCCTTGCTACCCATAAACAAACCCATGTTTCCCCTTCTTGAAGCAGCTAGGTGATACAGTAGATTGAACATTAGGCCTGGAGTCAAAAAGACCTGGGTTCAAATCTGACCTCAGATGTTTACTAGCTGTGTGACTCTGAGCAAATCACTTAACTTCTGTTTGCCTCAGTTTCCTTAGCTGTAAAATGGGATGGAAGACCAAATGAGATAATATTTGTAAAAGTGCTTAGCACAATTCCTGCCCTCCTCTTTAGATTCCCACCCCACTACCTTTACTGGATCCTACTGTGCCCACCATATTCCTATATTCTTCTTCCCTTGTCAGCTACACTCCTTACCATCTACACTTGATCTCTTTTCATCCTCTCAGGCCTTTCTAAACCTTCTGTACTCTGGCTTCCTGAAATCATTCAAATGAAAATGCTCTCTCCAAAGTTCCCAGTGATCTCTCTATTGATCTTTTCTCAATTCTCATCTTTCTTGACCTCTTTAAAGCCTCTAACACTGTTGATCACCTTCTGATCCTGGATATATACTCTTTCCACTCTGGGTTTTCATGACTGCTTTCTCTTTTGGTTGTCTTCTTATCTGTCTGACCCACTACTATGGGTGTGACCTGCAGCTCTGTCTTGGGCTCTCTTCTTTTTTATATCTATAAATATCTCAGTGGGTAGCTAAGTGGCACAGTGGGTAAAGTGCTGGGTCCAGTCTCAAACACTGACTAGCTGGGTGACCTTGGGCAAGTCACTTAACCCTGTAAAATGAGCTGGAGGAGGAAATGGCAAACCACTCCAGTATCTTTGCCAAGAAAACCCCAAATAGGATCACAAAGTTGGACACGACTGAAAAAAACGATTGAAACTCTGTCAGTTGGTGACCTCACTGGCTTAGAGATTCAATTGCCATCTCTATATAGATGATTCCCAGATCTGTTTATCCAGCCCTAGTCTGTTTCTTGAGCTCTAGTCTTATATCACCAGTTGTGTTTAACATTTCAAACTGGATGTCCTGTAGGCTCTGAAAGGTCAACATTACCAAAATAAAACTCATCTTCACTCCCTCAGCTCTGCCCCTAAAACTCCTTCATGAATTTACCTATTACTATTTTTTAAAAAATTTTACATTTTTTTAATCAGCAAAAATTTGCTTTCCCTGCCCCTGAAATTGAGAATGAAAGAAAACAAAATCCTTGTTAGAAATAGGTATAGTTAAGTAAAACAAATGTCCACATTGGCCATGTCTAAAAATATGTCTCATTCTGAACTCTTGAGTCTTTCATCTCTCTGTCCGGATGTGGGAAGCATGTTTCATCATTAATCCTCTGAAATTGTGGTTATTGATTACACTGATCAGAATTCCTGATTCTTTTGAAGTTGTTTGTCTTTACCATGTTATTGTCGTTCTCTTGGTTCTGTTCACTTCACTCTACATCAGTTCATGTAAGTCTGCCCAAGTTTCTCTGAAAACATTTTCATCATTTCTTATAGCACAGTAGTATTCTATCCCTTTTATATACCAAAGCTTGTCCAGACATCCCCTAATTTGTGGCTGCCTTCTCAAATTCCCATTCTATGCTACCTCAAAAAGAGCTATAAATATTTTTGTGTAGTCTTAGAGTTTCTTAGGTCTAATCCATCCCTTAATCTACCTTCCCTCTAATTCTCCTTTTCCCTTTCTCCCCTTTCAGGAGGTGGCTGGTGGATTCTTTCTACTTTTCCTTTTTGTTCTAAGAGATCTGGACAGTTTTCTTCATACAATTTCTTGAAATAATATCTAGGATCTTGTTTGGTCATGGCATTCAGGTAGTGCAATGGTTCTTAGTTTTTTTTTTTAATCATCAATCTGTTTTTTTAATCATTAATAGTTGAGATACCTTCCATTTTCTTCTGGTTTTCCAGACTTTGTTTTAATATTTTGGTTGTCTGATAAAATTATTGGCTTCTTTTGGGTCTATTCCATTCTAATTTTTAAAGAGTTTGTTGCTTGGGCAAGATTTTGTACGTCTTGTGCCAAGCTAATTCCTTTTCCAATTTTTTTTTCTTCCATAGTTTTCACTTTTCCAGTTTTTTTCCCTCTAGCCCTCTCATTTCATTGATCAAAACATCTTCTTAGCTCTTTTTAAAGCACTATCTCTTTCAAGAATTCTAGTTGAATTAGTGCTCATGTTCTGTTTTTCTTTGCGACTTTGCTTGTAGATTTTTAGAGTCATTCTCTTTTTCTGAATTCGTGTCTTGAGCATCTCTGTCGCCATAGTAACTTTTTATGGTGTTGTTTTGGGGGGGGGTTGTTCCCATTCTGAGCTGGTCCTATTGCTGGGGGATCTCAGAGACAGCTCAGATGGGAAACTTGTAAGCTTTCAGCCCTACTAAAGTAGTCTGATTCAGGGTAGAGTCTGATTCCTTTCCCCTGGTCTGCATGCTACAAGTTCCTGACTTGGATTTGGGTCTGAGCAAATTAGATTACTGCTGGACTCAGCCCCTATCAGCCAGCTAGGAAGTCTTGCTGGTTCAGTGACAGAATTACAGGCTTCCCTTTGTTCTGGGATTCCCACCCTAAGTATTCGTCTGCAGGCTTCAGACCGGGCTAAAAGCTAAAACTGAGACCAGCTCTGCTCTGAGCCATATTGCTGATGCTTGCTTCTGTACCTGTTCCTTTCTTGCTACACAGCCCAGGACCGATGCTGCCCAGCTGTGTCTGTGTGTGTGTGCTACCGTCCTCCTAGTCATCTAGGTTCAAAACCTTGGTGTTATCTTCACCTCCTGTCTTTCTTATCCCTGTCTCTGTCTTGCTTATCCCACATATTTGATTTGTGGCTAAATCTTGTAATTTCCCCACAACACCTCTGCTATACCTCTCTTCCCACTCACATAGCCACCACCCTAATTCAGGCCCTCTCATTACTTCTCACCTGTTCTATTGTTGCAGCCTTTCAAATTGTTTTCCCTAGCTCAAGTCTTTTTTGCCCGCTCTCATCCCTCCTAAACTCAGTGATTTCCCTAAAGCATGCATAGGTCTGACCTTGTCACTCCCTACCTCAATGAACTTCAGTGGTTTCCTATCATCTCTAGGAATAAATAGAAAGTCTTTTCACATTGAATGCTCTAGACAGCTTGGCCCCTTTCCAATCATGTTGCATTCTTCTCTCCACAAACCCTACAGTCCCGCCATTCTGGTCTACTTGACAACATTGCATCATTCATCTCTTTGCTTTGGTCTCTCTCTCCTGCATGCCTGGAATGCTCTCCATCTTAGCTTGTGACTTTTTGAATCTCTGCCTTCTACCCAGCTCAAGGACTACCTCCCCCAGAGTCTGGTCCTCTCGTGTTACCTTCCTGTAGTCTGTATTTGTCTTGTATGGTTTGATTTATGTATACTGTCTCCCCTATTAGAATTAAGCCCTTGAGGACAGGGAAGGATATTTTGTGTTTAGTTTTGTTAGCACAGTTTAGGAGGGACATTGACAAGCTACAGAGAATCTAGAAGAGGGTAACCAGAATGCTGAAGATCCTTAGGTCCATGCCACATTAAGGTCTGTTTACAGGAATGGGGATATTTAGCCTGGAGAAAAGACAATTCAGGGGGCATATCAATCTTTTGAGTACTTGAAATACTGTCCTATGGAAGGTGGTTTGGACGCGCTCTCTTTGGCCCCAGTGGGCAGAACTAGGGGCATGGATGTAAGTGCCAAAGAGCCAAATTCAGGGATGATGTCAGGGAAAAACTTCCTAATGACAAGCTACTGCTAAGTAAAATGGAAACACTGCTGTAAAAGGTAGTGCTTCTTCAGTCTTTCATGGTCTTCAAGATAAGACCAAAGGACCACATTTCAGGGAGTGGCCACCAAGGTCCCTTCCAGCTCTGAAATTCTGTGACTTAAATATCTGTGGCAATGGGGAATCTGGAAAATGTGAACAAATGAAATTGAAACAATCAAAAACTTCAACTTTTAGCAAAATTGACATGAATTAACATCCAACAAAGGCACAAAAACTGGCCAATTGATGTTCTATCGTGTCCAGCCCAAACACTGGGCTAACAAGTGAGCAAACAGGATCGTGGGATGTTGATGGGAGATTCAATCCTCTCATTTTACAAATGGGAAAGTTATTTGCCCAAGATGAACCAATCAAGTATCAAGTATGAAATGCCTACTATGTGTCCACTCACTGTGTTAGATGCTGGGGCTACAATTATGAATGAGACAATCCCCAATTACAAGGAGCATCCTTCTAATATGGAAAATGTACACGTTATGTGACAGAGCTGGGATTCTAACATAGGTCCACAGACTCCAGATCTGGGGGAGGCAGATTGATGAAGTGATAAGAATATAATCCTTGATGATAGGGGAAGACAGATTAAAGTTTGACCCGTCTGATGGTGACATTTTAAATAATCATAAAACAATTTTTAATTGGGATTGTAAGTCATTGCCTTGCTAAGCCTGTTCTTTTCCTGTCAAAAGAATATCTAGAACATCTAACCCTCATTTACTTTGAGGATCAGGTGAGATTAGTTATTTAAGATGTGTTGCAAACCTTAGAACATTGGCGATGTCATCTATTATTTCACCAAAGATACCTTCAAGGAAAAAAACAGGTTTAGATAATGTACAAACTGGATCAGCATGCTCTGACAGCCTGAGTCCTCTGGCACAGTTCTGTCATCTAACATTGTTTTTGAGAAGTTTTATCTGCATTTGGTAACATAAGCCTCCTCTTGTCAGTTTCTGATAGCACAGTGAAAGCAGCAGTTGAAATGCTCATAAATGTCTTATAAGTGCCACAGGAATATTCAACTAATTTTTTTTGCAATGCATTTTCATACTTTGGCTAATGATTTTTTTAATAAAGAAAATGTCTCAAAAAGTTTTTATTTTGTACCTTATTAAAACCTGGGAATATCATACATTTCACTTGACGTAGTCTTGTTCCAGAATAATTCTGAATTGGCCGATTTAGAACCACTCAGATCATAAAACATTTTTTAAAAATTTCCTTTGTGACGTTATTGGTTTATGTGAGGATTTTATTCCTAGGTGTAAAACTAATGTTTTTGTGCACCTTCTCCTTGCTGCTTCCTTGATCTTCCCCCTCCCCAAATACTCCATCAAGTCTGGTCTGGCCACCCCTGCCCCCACCCTTGCCTTCTAACCTTTGACCTTGTAGTGTTTACCTGGACTGCTCCCTCCTTGGGCCCTTGTGCACCTTCCTGGTGACCCTAGCTGTATTACCTTTTGTGCCTTGATTTCCCCAACCAACTTATCCTTGTGAGGCAGAGACAGTACTTTTATCCTCTATGGCACACCGTAGACACAATATGCAAATGCTGGTTGCCCTAGAAGCTCAAAGGAAGGTCCGATACAGATGATTTTGCCTGAAACCCTCATCTTAAGTCTAGACAAGCATCTTAGCAACTTGGAGCACTTAATCACAGGCAATGCACATACTTAGCAGGACTGGCTGTATCTGAAGAACTTAAAACATTCCCAAGTAAACTTGGGTGGAAAAGCACTAGATTCATTTGTGAGAACAAATTAACTCTGGGTTAGATTTCAAATGGGGAAAAAAAAAAACAGCAATTTTTTGAAAGTGTTATAAACCAACATGATGGATAATGATGTTACCATTTGAAGTTAAAAACTGCAAATGAACAGGGCACCATGAATATACAATCTTTTCAATATAACTTTTTTATTGGAACACAGCAATAATAATGAGCAGTACTGGTAGATAACATTCTGATTTAATTTAAAAAAAAAGTACATAGAAACTAATAGAGCAAACACAAAATTCTAAAATTTTGAGGCAACTCAATTACCACCAGTGAGAGGTGTTATGATTAATAGTCAAGTTCATGCAGTAATCTCAAACTGTAAATTATTTTCCCAAGCTTTCTATGAATGGATTATAAGCAACATGTCCATGTTATTAAACGTATTGTGGTTCACTGACCGATAAATCACAGAATTATTTTAAGTAAGAGAAGGTCACATCTCCTAATGGGAAAACAATCAAATTAAAAAGAAACTGGCTGCTGGGGAAAAAAATAAGTCAACTAGGGCAAATATTTTGAATGACATATGAGATGAAGTTGAAAAATTTCTCTTCATTTTAATTTGCTACCAAACTATTTTACAAATGAAGCTGGGGAAGAAATTAGAGTATATTCAACATTATTTACTATTTTTTTACTTGTAACACCTTACACAAAGATATACTGGATAAAAAGGAAAAAAAAAGTCCCCACAACGCTGAAAAGTAAATGGGGCTCTTTCCTCTTAGGTGGAGATCTACTTTTATTGCAATCTTCTTCTTTGAGGTTGTTTAATGGGTGCAGGAGCCTTAACACTAGTCAAACCCTTAGGAGAAAGAATCAGGTGCTTGGTCTTTAGTCAAATAATTGCTTTCTCCATTAATGGGTTAAATATTTCTGGAAGGAATAATACTATCCACTTAGGGACAAAGTTAAAGCTTCTTAAAATGTAATTGTAAAAAAACAATCTTTTCTAGTGTTAAAGACTTCCTTTGCAAACTTAACTTAAAACATCTATAGTAACCACTAGTCCATATGTATAGGGAAACAGCAAAAGTAGAAAAATCACTCAAGGTGAATTTATCAGGTAACCTGCAGGAATCATCAAATAACCTGAACTGGTAGTAGAACAGAAGCTTGCTTATACATTGTAAAAACAAATTTTAGATGGCATTTTTATATGTATAAATGTGCCACCCTTTCTTAGCCCCACTGGGCTTACTCAAAGCATAATTTATTATAAAAAACAATATATGTGCTTTACTAGAAGGTATAGTTGGAGCTGCCATGGTTAAGAACAAAGCAATGCAAAATTTTCTGCCCAATCATCCCCCAAAAGAAAAAATAGAAGCTTTACAACCTGCAAGTTCACCTCAATGAGTTTCCCATAGTGGCTTTACAACCTTATCAACTAGGAGTAACAAAATTACCTTAGCTTACTTTTCAAGCTAGAAAGTCCCCATGGGGATAGATTTTATATTGATACTGACATGTGGCAACTAGACTCATCTGTAATAGCATGACATTGGTAACTGTCCTTAATGTATAAAAAATAGAGATATAATTTTTTAATGTTTTATTAAATATCTACATTTCTGCATCATCATCATCATCATCTTTGGCTCTGAAGTGCATTTTTCTGAATTCCCGTCTGCTCATTGAAGGACAAGGTGGAGAAACTGGCGGAAGGTCCTTGGGGAAAAGAGTAAGATATGGAGTTTGTTAATGAAAATTGTTATTATTTCCAACCAAACTGGCCTCCCTGCTGTTCCTACCATGACATTCCACCTAGAATTCCACACTCCTTCCGTGCCTCGACTTCTTAGAATCCCTATCAAGCACTGCCTCCTCCATAAAGTCTATTGAACTCCCGCTTCCTGTACCCCCTCCCACTCCCCAATTACTCTATGTCCCCTCAAGAGAAAGCAAGTTGTGGACAGGGCTGATCGTCTTTCATCTCTATGTCAATAGTGGTTAGCACAGTGCCTGGCACATAAACATCTATGGATTTGGAAGTTCCCTCCAATGATGCCAATCCCAACCCACCTAATGCTTGCCCATGGCCATCAGTTGGCCACAGGAAGCCTCCCCAATGTACTAGAGGAGTACCTGGCAGAGTAAAGAAATTGCTTGTTGAGTGAATACATTTCATCCACTTTGACTTCTTCTTGCTCGTTTAACCATAACTTGGGAACTTAGGAACACTGGCACCCCATCGGATGCCAGACCTAAGGCTAGAAGGGACCTCCAGCATCCAGCCCTTTCATTGTTACAGATAAAGAGAGGGCCTCCATAAGTGGCAGAGCTGGATGTGAACTTGGGGCTGGGGCCTCCATGTGTATAATCTTTCCACTCTAACACACTGCCTGCCCACCCTGTTATTTTTCAAAGGGAAAAGAGAATAAATGACTTATTCTTACTTGCATGAGCTCGACATTTCCAAAGAATCGATTCACTGGCATTGGCTGATTGCTATCTTCGTCTAAAAAGATGCTACTGTCTATGTGGCACGGTGTCTTCTGGGGATCTGCCTCCGACCCAGCCTCCCCGAGCAGCACAGCACCATGCTTACACATGTCTTCCTCTAGCAGATTTTCTTTATATTTTGAGGGGGCCAAGTCATTTTCAGTCTTTGTTAAGCAACTGTTGCCCACCTCTCTGGAGTGACCGTGATGAGAAAGCCCATTCTCATTCCTTTCTATTTGCTGCTCACAAATCTTGGAAGTATTAGCTTCGTTACTTGGCGGCAATGCTTTGTGCTCAGCACGCTCCAGAGGCCCATTCTCACTTGAGGTTTCAGATGCTGTTTTTGACAAAGAAGTTTTTTCCTTTTTGGTAGTTAGTTCTCGTAATTCTGACTTGATGAAACCATCTTTTTCATACTTCAGTGTCTTGGAAGTACGTCTCTCAGTTGCTTTGTGTGATGACGCCTGTCAAGAAAGATAAGCTTAAGGAGAAACCAGTGAGCCCATGGGACCTAAGACTATCTTTTGTTCATTTCACATTAGGGGGCAGAATGGTTTGTTTCAACATCTTAAACAATATAAAAGATATAAATGGACAACTCTAAAAGAAAGTTCTTTTGCTTTAATACTATTATAGCAACACAAATTTAAATCAATGATTGAAAAAGAATTTGGCAAAATACCCAAATTCTACTAGGGTTGTTATACTTACCTAATTTACCTAAGTAAGTGGATATGTTTTGCTATATAAACAAACAGAGAAAAGTCATGACTACACTACAATCTTCTTATCTTGGGGGGTCATCAGATCAGTTTTAGGATATTTATTAAAGATCCTTCATCCTACAGATTTAAAGAACAGGCCCAGAGAGATGAAGTATCTCGCCCAATATCACACAGGTAATTAGAGGTGGGATTTGAATCCGGGCCCTCTGACTGCAGTCAGGGTTCTTTCCACTATAATTTGCTGCCTCACAAATTCCACTTTTCTCACATCTGTTAATTCAGTAATTTGCAAAGGAGGATAACAGACCTATTATAATTGAAAGTATGTTACAGTAGGTCCCATAATAGTGAGGCCTCCAGTCCAACAAAAGAGAAGGGATTAAAGTAACAAATAATTGATTTGGTGGCATTTTCTACTGACTCCCTCTACTCTTTCCAAAAAGGCTATTAGGAATGAATTGAGGAACAAAATACAGTAAAGCTCTCACTGGATTGCACTTTGTGTGTTCTCTATCACAGGAAGGATGACAAAGGAGAGGAGAGGCTGAAGAAGTGGGTCCATGACTCATGAACATGACTCCTCACTAAACATTAAGGATAAAAATCGCTGATCAGAGAAAGTGTCTCTTGGGCATCAACTCTAACAGTTTCATTCACTTTTTCTCTAAGACTACTCTCCTCTTTGGAACTGACGATCATTAAAAATGACTTCACAATGATGTATCCAAAGAGTGTAAAATAGATAAAACGGGTCTATGGAAAATCAGATTTTAAAGCTCTTCAGACAATGAATGAATGAACACCATCTTACCAAACACACTGTTTTTGTAGATTTGGAAACATCTACTTCTTGAGCCGAGGCAGCTCTGGTTGCTGGGCAGTTTTTGCTCCTTAGGCGTGCTGAAGAGCGCACCCCGTCTGCAAGCTAAATCAGATATTGAGAAGTCAGGGAAGCGCTGGGAGAGTGCAGAGACCACAGGAGACAATCAAAGAGTCTGAGGAAGGTAGTAAAACTTGGATTTATGTAGCAAGCATGACTTTTGAAGGACCAAGGGGAGTAAAAAGTACAAAATACAAGCTCTTAAAGCAACTGCTAGGTCATCAAGAAAGGCAAAGGTTCTGTTCATATCTATTTCAAGATAATAACAAGCATTTTAATAGCTGCCTACTCCGTGCCAGGCACTGTGCTAAGCACTGGGGATAAAACGAATGGCAAAAGGACAGACCCTACCCTCAGGGAGGTCACAGTACAATGGGGAGAGACAACCTGCAGACAACTGGGTACATACAGGATATACACAGGGTAAACTGGGGGTCATCTGAGGAAGGTGGTGAGAACCTTTCTGGAAGTACAGAAGAGGGGTTTGAGATGGGAGCCTTTGAAAGGCTTGCAGAAGGAAGGATTTGAATACGTTGCTGTGAAGCCCATTTTTATTTCTGTCCCAGTGTTGGCCCTAGAAGCCCAGAGTGAACTAGAATAGCAGCCCAAGTACTTACTAAGTATCTACTACATACCCAGCACCTTTTAGGTGCTGGAGGTCTGAGTACAAAGAATGAAAGGATCCCTACTCATGAGTTTGAATTCTAAGAGGAATGTCAGATAAAGCAATCAGAAAACACTGCTGGAAAAAGAAACTGTAAGCATAGAAAACATAGTTCAGAAGAATTTTCCTGAAAAAATATCAAATGACTCAAATTTAAATGCTTTTAAAATAAATTCAATTTAATAAGTATCTACTATGTGCAAAGCACTGTGCTAGGTGCTGGGGTTACAAAGACCAAAAACAACCTAGTTCCTGCCCTCAAGGAGCTTCCACTCTACTTTTGGGAAGATTGAGAATATTGTCCCTCAAAAAGGAGAATACTTCTTATAATTCTAGGAATTTAGAATTCTTTCTTGGTCCTTCCCCTTCATCTTCCAAGAGACTACCATAAAGAGTTCCAATACACTGTTGAGGGATTTTTCAGCTGTGCCTGACTTTCATGACCTCATTTAGTGTTTTCTTGGAGAAGATACTGGAATAGTTTGCCATTCCCCCTCTAGCTCATTTAACAGATGAGGAAACTGAGGTAAAGAGGGTTAAGTGACTTGCCTAGGGTCACAAATCTTGTGTCTGAGGCTGGATTTGAATCCACAAAGAGGAGTCTACCTGACTCAAGGTCCACTACACTATCCACTGTCCCACCTACTTCCCCCTCTTCCCCCTCCTCCAATACATTACACAAGAATCAAAGGTGTCTCTGTGTAGACCAAAACACACATTTGTCCACCAAGTAGGAGGGACTTTAGTTTTTCCTTAAACTTCTATTCAGTAACTAGAACTAACATAAGTTAACATGGAAAAAAAGTCCGAGTTCTTATCTTCCAAAGAATGAACGAACTTATAAATTATAGGTAGAAACAGCATTAATTTATTTCATTTTGTCAAATTAATTCCGATCTGGTAAATTTAAGAGCCCCATAAGCTTTAAGAGACTGTAAGATACTGGGGGAAAGGGGAATTGTAATAAAGCCTTATGAAACTTTTCTAAAGCCCTGGTAGGAGCTGTTTGGGGTTTTGCTTGTATTCCTGGTACATAGCACACATAGCCTGGCATATGTGAAGCACTACAGAGGTGCTTAATAAATGCTTGTTGATTAACTGTACTAAGGATGAGAGAAATCCACAAATGGGGGAGAGAGGAGTGAATAAGGAGATATTTAAAAAAAACCTGGATCTTTAAATAAGGGATTCCTCAACTTTTCCAAGTGTATCTTATGACATGGGTAGAGAAATCCAGAGGATATAGTAAATATTCAGCTCATCAAAAGACAGAGAGAGGAAAGGAAGGAAAAACCCTCAACGATGTGTGGAAGGGCAAGGTAACTGACCACATGATGTGTAGCTCGGAGGGCTTTTAAGAGTTCCTAAGCCACTGTAAATCAAACACACTGCTGGAGTTTATTGAGGACCGTGCTTCCACCTCCTTAAATCATGACAATATTACAGAATGCTTGGGATGAGAACATTCCCTGGCAATGGGCATATGAACACAAACTGATGCCAAGCCTCCATTAATATCTTTTGTCATGAATAACCATGATAAATATGTTGACCTGAAATATCTAGGTTCCAATTTCACTTCTAAATCTAAATAATCTTTTTATTTACTGAAGGTTGACCAATAAACAAACCTATTAGGGAGCATAAAAACCCTTAACATAAGAGCTACATGTCCTCTCTCAATGTTTTGAAGATAATCTACACAGGTCCAGAGGAGTACTTGCCCCTTTAGCCTGGGCTTTTATTATCTATCCAAATGGTATCTTCTTGTCTGATAATTTCAGGGCTTTGGGAGAATACTCCGGGTGCTTTTGCTAATGACACTGCTAAAGTCTGGGAAAGTAGCCGATTCAAACAAGAAAATCTACTACGACACAGAGTCTGCTGTGTGTATTTCCCATGTCTCTTTTCTAGGATTCTCTAAGCTGAGTTCCAATCCTTCCTTAGGAATGTTTATTTCCAAATATTACTTCACATCTTATTTTTAGGGGGATCAAAGTGGGCTGACCGGATTTCAACAAGCCTATGATCTTGGAGGCACATCACTCAATGTCTCAGGCCTCAGTTTTGTCATCTATAAAATGAATGTTAGGCTTGGGACTGCATGATCTCTAGTGCCCTTTTCAGTTCTATGCTAATTCGGATGCATTAGGTTTTCTGTCCTTAGAAGGCAGTGCTCTGCGGACAGTGAGAACAGACTGGAATGACTGCTCATCTCTTCTTAACTTGCACTGGACGTGGCCTCTGGGGCAGGTAATACGTTCTTTAATCAGTGGAATCTGTGAGTTCATCAGTGCACTTCTTCCAGTGGTAAAGGTGACAATGTATCCCCACCTTCTCATTCTGGGCAAAGCTTGTCAGGTCTTTGCCATCAATCCCCTGGTCAGGAGAGAGGGTGTGCACCCCACCATGCTGGGGGCTACTTTCTAGATCTATCAACATCACATGGCTAACATGCCCAGGGGTGCTCAGTCCGTCATCATCTCTTGTTTGCCTCCTCTTCCTGTCTCACATCTCTTTGATGGTATCCTGTATACCACCTCCTGGTTGACATGCTGCTGCCTACTCATACCTACCCACAACTTTACTTCTCTAATGGCTGTGGCATTAGTCCATGACCCCATAGCTCTCCTGCATGGCCACATACATTCGTTACAACCTATGCTCAAGCCTCTTAGGTTGTTAAGTTCCTGGAGGGCAGGTATCCTCTCTTATTACTTAGTATCCCAACACAAAGTATTGTTTGTATAACTAAACTGAAATTTCTCCCATCCTTCTCAACACTGTAAATTACTTTATCAGTTAAACATGGAGATGCCTCTTAGGGAAATCCCTATTTCCAATTCTATGGAAATAATAATACTTAATATTTATTTGGTGCTTGAAGGTTTATAAAGGACTTTGCCCTCAATTACCTTGTGATAAGTAGTCAATAAAAGTATTATATTTTTATAAAGAAGGAAACTGGGGTTCAGAAATGTTAAATAATTGATCAATGTCACAGAGCCATGGTGTGAATCTTCTGGTTTAAAATCAATGTTCTCTGTGTGCTACACTTCCTCCCCTCACTGTTGCCCTGGTCTAGGAGACCAGGCATTTTGCAGTACAGGTTCCAAGGAAAGAAAAGCATGGAGTAAAACTATAAAAACTTCAATTCTACCAATATTCACTGAGTGCTTACTACGAGGATGCTGAGCACCTAGACAGAAGAGAGAGAAGGTTGAAGAAAAAAAAAAAGGTCCAGCACGAGAACTGGCATTTACTTAGCTGAAAGGTTTGTTGTTCAGTCGTCTCTGACTCTATGTGACTCCATTTTGGGTTTTCTTAGCAGAGATACTGGAGTGGTTTGCCATTTCCTTTCTCCAGCTCATTTTACAGATGAGGAAACTGAGGCAAACAGGGTTAGGTGACTTGCCCAGGGTCACACAGCTAGGAAGGGTCTGGGGCTGGATTTGAACTCAGAAGATGAGTCCTTCTGACTCCAGAGCTGGTACTCTATCCATACTTCACCACCTAGCTGCCCCAAGCTGAAAGGTTTACAGAGATATTATTTGAACCTCACAACAACTATGTGAACAGTAAGCACTACAGGCAGTATTTATCTTCATTTTACAGAAGAAATTGAGATGTGAAAAAAAAATGTTAAGCGACTTGCTCAAGGTCACACATCAAGTGACTGACAGAAGGGGTGGGAACCTAAATTTCTCTGTATGCCAAAACCAGCACTTTATTTACAAGACTCCACTGCCTCCATGGATCATAGATTTAGAGCTAGAAGGAGCTGGGGAGATCATGTAGCCCAAACTTCTGCCTTTTATAAAGAAATTGAGGAGTAGAGATCATAAGATCATAGATTTAGAACAGAGGGGCCCTTAGAGGCTAGGGAGTTCTACACCCTCATTTTACATGAGGAACTTGAGGCCTTGAGAAGTTGCTTGAGGTTAAGTATAAGGTAGTAGATGAGGAGTACATAACAGAAACGGGGTTAGTTAAGTGACTTGTCCAAGGCCACACAATAGAATGTGACAGATATTGATCTGATTCAGGTCCTCTGTTTTCACATTCAGTCCTCTACCACATTTTGGGATTACAGTTTGATTCAATTCAACTAGCATTTAGTGATGTCAGATAGTGTGCAAGGTGTTGGGTACAAAGATAAAAATGAAACCAGCCTCTGAACTCAAAGAGCTAACAATTGACTAGGGGGAAACAACATACACAGATAAACAACAAAGCCAAAAACCCACAATTTGTGTATATGTACATGTGTATGTGTGCAGCTGGGTGATTCATTTAGGTTAACAATTTTGGGGTGGGGGTTCAGTTAGTCAATCAGTCACATATTAAGCACCCACTATATGCCAGGCACTGTGCTTAGCACCAAGGATACAAAGGAAGGTTCAATACAGCCCCTGCTCTCAAAGAGCTCCCAATCTCCGATAGTTAAATTGGGAAGGAAGCAGAATTGAAAAAATTCTCCTAGTCAGGCACCTGGATAAGAGGGTGCAGACTGGGAAATTGCAGGAGGAATTCACTACACAAAGTACGGAAACTGAGGCAAGGATACACTTCTGGCAGTGTGACCTAAGTGTAATATAATTCCACCACTGTTCCTGTCTCCCCCTCCTGACGCCCACCTTAGGTCCCAAGTGAGACACAGCCAGGGCCCAGAGATGTTTGGAGGGGTGGGCCCGGCACCCCGAGATCCCAAAGCACTGGGGAGGGGGCAGCCCCACGGCCAGGGCAGGTGAGCATCCTCCGTCGGTGCCCTCAGTTATCTGACCCAGCCTGGACAAAGAACCCCCAAGGGGGGAGCCCCTTGTCCGTGGGGCGTGGCTTAAACTGATGGACCCGCCCCTACAGAAACCCTTAAAAAGGCGTGGCCTGAACCCAGGGACCCGCCCCCCCGGCCTCCGTGGGCGTAGCCTAGAGCACCGCAGAGGGACGAGAGGGCGTGGCCTAGCGCTCCTGGGGGCGCGGGTCCTTCGAGGTGGTCGCGTGATACTATCCTTCTGCGGGGGGGGGGGGTATTCTGGTGGGCGTGGCACGGGCGGAGGGATCCCGGCCCCACACCAGCCTCTGGCCCGAAGGAGGGGGACTGGGGTAATGGGCTCGCGTCACAGGCCGCGTCCCGGGCGGCGCAGTCCACCTTACTCGCCCCAGCCCCCCCGGTCCCCCGGCCTCTCCGCCCCTACCCCCGTCTGGACGCCGCGGGCCGCACTCCCACGCCGGGGCCACGGGGGCACCCGTTCCCTCACCTTCCGGCTCCTCATGAGTCTGAGGCGCCGCCGCCACCGCGACGTCCCCAGCTCCCGGGGCTAACGCTCCCTTGCGCACCTGACCCGCGACCCGGGGAGACACCAGCCCGGGGCCGCCGCGTCCTCCGACGTCTACGGCCGCCTCCGCCAATCAGGAGGCGGTGCCGCCGGGTCACGTGACCCAAAACACGTTCGGTCCCGACTGAGAGGAGGCGGTACGGACTTCACGAGGCCGGGAGGGTGGGCGGGACTTAGCGCCGTGGCGCGGGAGGAGGGGGGGAAGGGCGGAGCTTGCGCGAGCGCACGAGCCGCCATGTTTGTGAGGGGCGCGCGCAAGGGCGGCCACCTTGTGTCCGCCATGTTTGAACGGGGTAGGATGAATCCATAATCAGTTATCCAGAAACTTGTAGTGATACAATGACAATGAATGAGACAGGAAATGACCCAGGGTTCTCAGATAGATGATCATGGGGTCATGGATTTAGAGATGGAGGGCGCTTTAGGGGTCATCTTTCCCAATGCTCATAGTTTGCAGATAAGAAAACTGAAGTTAAGTGACTTGCCCAAGGTTACCCTGGTAGGGCTGGGATTTGAACTCAAGTCCTTGAGGATCCTGCAGTTTTGCGGGCTGACTGATGGAGAGTTGATACCACCGACCCGCATTGTAACGTGGTTAAGTCACAGAATCTCTAGTTTGGAGGAGACCTTAGTGACCATCTCATCCACCTCTTCCAGCTCATACCTGAAAAACAATTGCTTCTGCAACATAGCTGACAAGTGGTCAACTTTGTGCTGGAGGCTGCTGGGTGGTGTAATGGATCACGGTGGGCTGGGCCTGGCCTCAGGAAGACCTTCGTTAAAATTTAGCCACTAACACGTATTAGCTGAGTGACCTTGGGCAAGTCACTTAACTTCTGTTTGGATCAGTTTCCTCAACTGTAAAACAGGGATAATAATACTTCCTACCCCCAGAGTTGTTGTGAGGATGAGCTGTTATGAGGTAATAATTGTAAAGTGCTTGGCACAGTGCCTGGCACACAGTAATGTTAGCCAGTATGTTATTTTTATTATTACTTACCTCCCAGGATAGGTGAGAATCAAAATGAGATAATACCTCAAGTAGTGCTTGGAACATGATAAGCACTCTACAGATGTTAGCTATAATTATTGTTATTAGCTCTTACCAATTTAAAAACACTGTCAGAAGGGAAAATATATGATTAGTCTGGCATAATCTGATCTAAATGAAGTCATATTGGCTCTTTGAGATCACCACTTTCTAGATGGTCACTGAACTATCTCTAATCAGTTATTTCAGTATTTTTCCAGAAACCAAAGGCAAAAGCGCTACTCTATAGTTGACATATGCTATTTTCTTCCCTTTTTTGAAAATTGGGAATTTTTCCTCTTTGGTGCTGTAGCACTTCTCCTGTTCCTCACTTTCTTTAAAATGTCATTGACAAGAGATTATCAATCAAATCTGACAGTTCTTTCCATATCTGATGATAGGGTTCATCTGGGCCAAGTGACTTGAATTCGTCAAGGACAGCAACATCCTCCCATACTGTCTCCATATTTCCTTTGAGTATCACTTCTCTATTAGATGTTTTTGTTCTCTTTCCAGACAAAATGTACCAGAGTAGGAGTGATAGAATGGGAAAACAGAGGGGGATGGAGGGCTTGAAGGTTTTGGTGAGGATGAAGAATAGATCTAGGAAGCCCAGAGGGCCAGATGAAAAGATGGATTCAACCTCTGTTTATTAAATGCCTACTAAGTACCATGTTCATGGAGGTTGATTAGGCTGCTGGATCGGGAAGCCGGAGTGTTCTGTGGGGCATCCATGTGAATGTTGAAATTCCTAAGTATAAAGGCAGTGCTTGGGAAGAAGAGGTCTTGGCTCTGAAATCCTTGCAAAAAGAGGGTGAATGTTCTGGGGTTCACAACTGTGGATGACAGCCACAGCAAGGTGAAGAATGATCTAGCCAGGTGCAGTGAGGTATGAATGGGGAGTGAGCACAGCCCTGGTCGGGTCTAGAAGCATAGGTAGGGAGTCAAGCAAACCATCAGTGATGTACTTTCTCACGGCTGTGAGAGCTTTCCTTCTCTCTCTTGGGGTAACAGTATGGCAGGGGAGAGAACTCTAGACTACAGGTTAAAGGAAAATGGATGTGTAGTGCTAACTCAGGGACTAGCTCTCTGTGTGACCCTGGGCAAGTCTTTCCTTTCTCTGTGTCTTCATTTCGTTACTAGTAAGAAGGGGATGGGCCGGTAGGTGGCACCATAGTGCACAGAGCACAGGTCTAGAGTTGGGGAAAACTCATCTTCCTTAGTTCAAATGTAGCCTCAGACGCTTACTAACTGGGTGACCCTGGGTAAGTCACTTCTCTCTGTTTGCCTCAGTTTCCTCATCTGGAAAATGAGCTGGAGAAGGAAATGACAAACCACTCCAGTATCTTTGCCAAGAAAACCCCACGTGGGGTCACAAAGAGTTACACGTGGCTGAAACAACTGAACAACAAGAAAAGGGGTAGAAAGGCAGAGTAGTACAGAGGATGGATACTGGCCATGGAGTCAGGCAGACTTGGGTTCAAATTCTACCTGTGACCCATCCTCATAGTGTGACCCTGGACAGCTCGTTCAGACTAGACTGATGCAATCTCAGGACCAGTCTTTATTCTTGATCCTGGCAAGGCAGCAAGGTTGGCTCTCTGAGGCCTCTTGCATCTCTGACATTCTTTGACTTGGATGGTAATGGAACTGCACAGTTTGGGGACCTGAAATTCACATCCCAGATTTGGAGGCTTTGGGTACAAAAGAATTTCTCTTGCCTCTGAAAGTATGCAAATTAGGCAGCTAATATAATTAGTGAGCTTGGCATAAGTTCTGTCCTGCTCCTGTATATAACTTAATTCCTCTGTGCCCCGGCTTAAACCTATTTCCTCGTGCCTTGTCCTCATTAGAGCCCTAGAACAGCTGGTCACCTTTACTTTTAATGGAGATTAGCCTCCTGCTGGGATTGAATTGTTTCATGTTTCCTTCCCACCTCTGATTCTCCTCTTGCCCAAACCATCCTGTGTGAGGACAGTGATGTAGGTTGCTAGCCACCTCCCTTGAGTCATTTCCAAACCCTCAGCAGTGTCCCATGTACTCAGTGATCAGTTCAATGAGGTGTTTACAAAGCTAAGAGACTGCATTTTGTCTTTTAAGGAGTTTGAATCACAAAGACCTGAGTTCAAATTCTGGCTCAGACTCTTACTAGCTGGGGGACCCTGGGTAAATCATTATCCTTTCCCAGTCACAGTTTCCTCATCTATGTAATAGAGATACCCGAAAAGGATGTTGTGAGCATCAAATGACATAATTTACAGGAAGGACTTTGCAAGCTTTAAAGTGCTATATTAATGTCAATAGTAATTACTAGGTAGTATTATAAATTACAAAAATGAAATACAGCCTTTCTATAAAACACTCTAGGCAAAAAGTAATAGTAATAATAATAATAATAATAACAGTAACAGACATTAGGGCTTTAAGGATAGCAAAGTGCTTTACATACATTATCTCATTTGGGCCTCAGTTTCCTCATCTGTAAAATGAGAGGTTTGGACTAGATCACCTCTAAGGTCCCTTCCAGCTCACAGTCTGTTAACCTGTGTTCATCATAACAGTCCTGTGAGGTAGGTGCTGTTATTATCTCTCTTTTTACAGATGAGGAAAATGAGGCTCAGAATGGTTGTGGTCCCCTAGTTAATAAGAATCAGGGACAGGATTTGATCCTGGGTCTCTCCTTACTTCTCCTTCTTCACTCTGGGCTACAAGATGTCTGGGTTAGAGAAGAACATGGTGGACTAAGACTTTTTCATGTTCTGAATAATTCTAGAATCTTACTCCATAAGACCTTTTGTGCCACTTTCTTCACTCTACCTTCCCTTCTTCCAAAACCCATCACACAATTAACTAATTTCATCTGTATAATGCAGACTTCTAAAGATATATGGTTCAAATAAACAGACACATGGCAAACTCCATAGTGTGTGTCTGTCTGGTGGATGAAAATAGTTCTTCCTTCCTTCCTTCCTTCCTTCCTTCCTTCCTTCCTTCCTTCCTTCCTTCCTTCCTTCCTTCCTTCCTTCCTT